GGACCTCGAGAGGTGAATCGGACCAGGTAGGTGCTTGACTGAAAGGCTTCAGTTTTAGAATCTACCGAGTACCGGTGCACTACAGAGTCCGGTGGGTGCAGTTTATGTAAAAATGGAACATGTGGTTAGTACCAAACCTATGGTTAAGCATCTGACATTAAGCAAGAGTCAAACATATGGTTTCACACCGTAAATATGGTAACTATCAAGCATATATGGCATATTTTTTATTCAAATTTATAGTGTGCAAGTACTGGACCTATGATCGTTGTGAAAAATATGGTCAAGTACAGTCGTATAGTTCATACATAACATATGGTTATTTTGGGCATATGTATACCAAACCTATGTCATTGAGGCATTTTAAGGTCCTAAAAGTGGCCTTAGCTTCTGCTCTTGTATGATTTAATTGTTTTTTACCCAGAACTTTTCATTGCACCCATGTGTTCGCCTTCCATTACCGTCAGGTGTGGCTGTTCCTCTGACCCTGCGGCAGCGCTTTGACGTGCTCATAGGGGTGGCTCAGGGCCTGCAGTACCTCCACAGCTTCAACATCGTGCATCGCGACATCAAGCCCGCCAACATCCTGCTTGACAAAAAGATGCAGGTAGGCGATGTGGTGCAAAATTTGCAAGTGTGCGGTGGAAATGACAAATGTACATGAATAATGCTGGTGAAGAGTGCATGTGTGTGTCACTGTACACGGCACCCGCACATGGCACATTTCTCTATCCTTGAATTCCAAGTTGTGGTTCGGACTCGTGTCCCACCCCTGATAGTCCACCCTTATCTCAACCAACCCCCCTTCTGCCCATCCTGTGGATTTTAAATGTGGCTGATGGCACAACTTTTGTCTGTTTGCGGCCAAGGTGGCTGACTTTGGGCTTGTGCGGATGGGCGAAGGAGCTGACTTTTGAGTTTACTCAAAAGTCACCCCTGATAGTCCGTGTGGATTTCAAATGCGGCTGATGGCACAACTCTGTCCGTGTGCAGGCCAAGGTGGCTGACTTTGGGCTTGTGCGGATGGGCGAAGGCACCACTGTAGATGCGACGCGAGTGATGGGAACACCTGGCTATGTGGACCCCGCCTACTTCAAGTCACAGAAGGCCACTCCCATGGCCGATGTGCACAGGTACGGTGCAGTGCGGCACAGTGCACAGCTTTGGTTGACTCGCACAGGTACAGCGCGGTTCAAGCTGGTACAAGCATGGAGAGGGTATTGGCAGATTGGACTATGTTGATCCTGCTTACTTCAGGCCACTAAATAACACCCCGATGTTGTTTTTGCACATGTGTGAGGCACGTCTATATATGTAGTTGATGCGCACAACGATTATACATGCCACGGCGCAAGCTACGACAGTCTGAACAATCTAAGAAAATTGCAACCAGACCAGCCCAGACCAGACCAGACCAGACCAGACCAGACCAGACCAGACCAGACCAGACGAGACGAGACGAGACGAGACGAGACGAGCCTCCATTCCTGCAAATACGTCACGTCTGCATCCCCATCCCTGCTCGGAAGGCCCTAGGCTGACTATTTTTGAGGCGCCTCAAAAATAGACCCATCCCTGCTCGGAAGGCCCTAGGCTGACAATGGCATGACAGCCAGATCAACCACAATTTCTGCAACTGTGTCTGTGCCCTCGTCTCCCCCCCCGCAGCTTTGGCGTGGTGATGCTGACAGTCATCACCGCTCGCAAGGCTCTGGACACCTTGGATGACAGCCAGATCAACCTCAAGAAATGGGTGAGTGGGATAGGACATAGGCAGATAGGAGGACATAGGGCCAGGAAGACGGATAGATAGCTCTTATCTATAAGGACAAATTCCTGTGTTGTGGTGTCGTCACATCACATCTGCCTGAGAGCGAAGTTTTGCCGAGCCTAACTCATCAAGGACCCGCGTCCTGATGTCCCAGTGACGCCATCCTCAGGCTCAGGTTCCTCCCCCCCCCACCATCCCTCTCTCCCCCCTCTCCCCTCTCCTTCCCCCCCTCCCCCCCCGTCCTCTCCTCTCTCCTTCCCAGGTGCAACCCCTAGTGGGATGCAGGCAATGCGGAGGCCATCAAGGACCGCGTCTTGACGCCCCCAGCAATGCCATCCTCCTCGGTCCCCCCGAACCCCCCTCTCCCTATCAACTGCAGCCCCTAGTGGACGCAGAGGACGCGCAGGCCATCAAGGACGCGCGTCTCGACGTCCAAAATGACGCCAATCCCCGGCTCACCCACTTCACCCTGTCCTGCACCGCCACGCCCGTGGCGGCCCGCCCGTCCATGGCACGCATTCTCTCTGACCTCATGGCCATGAAGGAGTTCCTAGGGTCGGAGGTGGACCCTTCAACGGGGCCAGAGGTGGACGCAGATTCCGGTGCTCCGTGTGTCCCTTCCCTTCCCTTTGTGCGCCCCCCCCTCCCCCCCCTCCCAGGTGCAACCCCTGGTGGACGCAGGCGATGCCGAATCCATCAAGGACCCGCGTCTCGACGCCCCGAGCGATGTCATCCTCCGCCTCGCCCGCCTCGCCCTGTCCTGCACCGCCACGCCTGTGGCGGGTCGCCCCTCCATGGCACGCATTCTCTCTGACCTCATGGCCATGAAGGAGGAGTTCCTGGGGGCGGATGTGGACCCCATGCTGGCGAATATCGACACCGATCTGGCAGAGAGGATGGGGTCGAGCATTTCGCAGGAGATTCGGCGGGCCAACGAGGTGGCTTCGGAGCGGGAGGGAGCGTCGGGGCTGAGCATTGCGATTGGGGCTGTGGAGTCGTACAACAGCCTTGGGGACTGATGTGCGTTTGAGGTGTAGCAGTGGGATTGGGAAGAGCTCTGGGATCCTTGGGAAAGATGACCTTTGAGTCGACTCAAAAGTGAATGGGGTGGCTTCGCAGCGGGAAGGAGTGCTGGGGCTGAGCATTGCGATCGGGGCAGTGGAGTGGCACAGTAGCCTTGGCAACTAGCGTGCATTTGAGGTGTAGCAGTGAGGTCGTCTCTCCGACCGCATGGCCATGTAGGAGGAGGTTCTAGGGGCGGACGTGGACCCTTACAGATTAGACCCTTCCGGGGGTGGAGGTGGTCCGTACGTATGCTGGTCCCTACCTGTACCTGGTGGAGAGGAAGGGGCCGAGCTTTCTTTTGAGTCGACTCAAAAGCAGAGGTGGTCCCTATGCTGCTCCCTATACTTGATTAATGGAGTCCTCAAGCTGCTTTGATGAATGAGAGTTTTGTAATGTTGGAGTTTCTGGTCGGAGGGTTGGGAGTAGAGGAGGATCCGCCTTTGAGCCATGTTGGGCTGAGAAAAGCCCTTAGGATCTTTCCAGTTGTAGAATGAGACTTGAGTAGTGCAGCGGAAGTTGAGTAGTTGAACCCTTGTACTAGTATATGAGAACAAGTGATTGATTAAGGAAACAAGCATGCAGCAATATATAGAAAATAGGAAAGTAAAGCAGTTGTAGAATACAGTTGCAGGAGCGGTTATCGAGTCGCACAGCGACTCGATTGTCGCTTCGGTTACCATCCGTGCAATTGTAACGGTCAGTCGCAACCTCCAGTTGCGACCCTTCGAGTCCCTTCGCGTTCTTTGTCCGTCCCCTCGTGTAACCTCCGTTGACTCGCGTACCCGTTGTGATCTTCCTCGAGTGTAGTGTTACACTTCAGAAACGCTTAAGTCCTTCGAGATATTTCCAACAAGCCACAGGCTGCTTCTAGTTCATTGGCTAAACCCCCCTGTTTCAAGCTCTAAATGTGTATTGTGACATTAACTCGGACCATTCCGTACCTTGAAGAGGACCCTCCATTATCCCTGGTGCCACCTCGTACACCGCACACCACTATAATGGGTTTCCCACGTTTTGTTACTTGCAGATGAGCCAGGTTACCCAAATGTGACCTCTGCCGAGCCGCATGCATTTTTGTACGCTTTGCGCTTTCGAGCTTGCAAGTGTGCACTCCCGCTAGATGTCCAAGCCCTGTCGAGCATATTCGTCTGATTTTTTCCTAGATGTATCGCATGCCTGTTTTGATATGGCCATCGTGCAACCATTCTTGATAATATGAGAAGACTCAACCATACATGTATATGGATTCTTCTAAGGCAGGAATGAACATTTTTTTGGATATACACTGAATTCTCCTCTTGAATCCACTGGAGGGGCATTGGGGTTTGATCGATAACCTGCCATCGAAATCTCTAGATGCTTCCATCCATCTGCGCGCAGTCTCGTCGTTTTGTGGGATCCCTCGAGGATATCCCTCAATGTTCAGCCGTCGATGAAACCCTGTCACCCGAGTCAGGCTCTCCTTGCCGTCGATTTGTCCAGCAGTAATTTCGGATAGGGGGTTTCTTTCTTGTCCCCTCACCTCGAGCTTCCCGCACGGCGAATAAGCAGCACGCAGGAAGGAATTGGAGTACAGGTACACAAGAGGGCCGCCCTGCCCCCTCTGTCCTGGAGGCAGGGAAGGAACTAGTGCCAGCTCTTCTTCTAAGAGGGACACCAAAAATAGCAGCAGCGATTTAGACGAACACTAGGGCGAAGCTTTCTGTTACTCTTCCTATTCGTCCCTGTCAGTTCCCACCAATCCTCACTTCAGACATTTCGAATCATTTTCTCCAGCCGCATCCTGACTTGCGTGGCCGTGTCGAGTCGACTCGCTTCCAGAACTGGGGCTGCCTCCAATTCACCTCTTTTCCCCTATTTCTCGAGCTTCTCAAATCTGAAGCTCGTGTCGCCGCCGAACTGGGGTGTGGAAGACTTATTTTGTTTCTTTCTTTCTCTCCGAACTTCTCAAAACTAGGAAAGCACGTTGTTGCGGTGAAAGGTTACGGCTGCCACAGTCCAGGTAACGACTTTTGAGTCGAGTCGAAAATCACTTCGGTGACTTTGTGACTTTCGAGGTGAGGCTTGAAAGTCACCCCGAAAGCACGTCATTGCGGCGTTTGGTTACTGCTGCCACGGTCCGGGGAGGCGAAACGCGGGCGTGTTTGGCGTGTGGTGCTCGGGACGTGAACGATTACCTACGTGCGACGCCGCGTTAGCAACGTTGAATCCCAGTTCCTCGTCCCTGTTGGGACCTGCGTTTGAGTCGACTCACAAGTAGCTACGTGCGACGCCGCGTTAGCAGTTGAATCAAATCCCACTTCCTCGTCCCTGTTGGAACGGCGGCCGAGGTCCAGTGGGTGACGAATGTCGAGCTAGCAGCGCGAAGGACACTTCCGGGATATCGTGGCTGAGCGTTTCGGAAGAACGAGCACATATTCTTCCAGGGTAGCGTTTCCTTTTTTTTCCTTTTTTTTTTTTCCAGGAACGATAGAGCCAGCAGCGCTAGACAGTTATTTCCGGGATATCGTTGCTGAGCGTCGTGGCCTCAGAGACGACTCAGAAGCCACCTCGTTTCCGAAGAACGATACCGGATTCTTCCGGATTCTTCCGCGTTTCCTCGTTTTCTCGCAATCTTAGTGTTGAGTCTATAGAGCCGAGCCGAGGATGTCCGATTCTGGTCGCAGTGAAGGGGCAGGCGGAGAGGGGATGCAGGCTGATTCCCCTCTTCCTTCCTCACCTGACCCGCTTCCTCCGTCCGCTCAGCAACACCAGCAGCAGCAACCAGATGCCCCAGCAGCAGCAGCAGCAGCAGGAGCAGCTGCAACAGGCTCGGCGTCCAAACCTGCAGTTGGCTCGGCGACCGAGCCTAGACCGTCGAAGCGGCCGTCAAAACATCAGGTGGTGGATCCGAAGCTTCAGCAGGAGATCGTGGCGCTGAAGCTGGCGCACCCCGTCCTCACCAGCGCTCATATCGCGCGCGCGGTCTCTAAACTATACGGCGTGCTGATCAAAGAGTCGCAGGTGGAGATGATCATTCTCAGATCCGCTGTAGGCCAGTCCGTTAAGGACGACTGGACCAAGTGGAAGCGTACGCGTTATAAGAACGCGCCGCTGGAGGAGGCGCTGGTGCGGTGGGTGCGGGAGACGAGGGAGAGGGCGGACTCCGACCCGGCGAATATAATCAAAGGGGTTAAAAGGCGTTTCAAGATTATTGAGATCCAGGAGCATGCGATGAAGTTAGGACCGTCGTATGGCGTGCCGGCCGCCTTTAAGTACGGCGGGGATTGGATTAAGAAGGTTCTAGAGGAGAACGGCTTGAGTAAGAAAGGAGAGGAGATGAATAGGGAAGGAGGTGAAGGGTCGGGCGAGGGTGGTGGAACCAGTGCAGCAGGTTTTGGGGAAGGCAGCAGTGAAGGTTTGGACCGAGGCGGGAGCCCAGGCTCGGAAAAGCCCAAGCCGAAACGGGGTTACGGTCGGAACGAGATTCCCTTTGAGCTCCGGCTTCGGTATGAGATTGCTGTGGTTAAGCGCGCACGGCCGCACTTAGAGAATAAGGTGATTGCCGCTGCTATTAGGGCTAAGTACGGAGTGGAAATGACCCCGAGGGCGATTAGGAAGATTGGGGAGGAGAGTGATAAGTGGTTCAGGCTGGCTGCTGGGGCGGTGGCTGATCCGGAGCAGTCCAGGATGGAGGAGGCTTTGGCGGAGTGGGTGATTAAAGAGGAGGAGACTGAAAAGAGGGAGGTTACTCGGGAGGAGATTATAGCGAAGGCGAAGGAGATCGGGCCGGGGTTTAGACTGAGGAGGGAGTTTAGGTACGGGAAGACGTGGGCGACCGGGTTCATGAAGAGGTTTGGGCTGCTGCTGCTGTCGGAGACTAGTACCAAGGACGATAATAACGAGGATGGGGGAGGAGAGTATTGGGAGGAGGGAGGAGAGGGAGTGGCGGAAGAAGGGAGAGAGGTTGGGAGGGAGGCCATGTGCAGTAACAGGGGAAGGGCAGGGGTTGATTTGGGGGGTTGGGGAGGGGAGGGACGGCGAGAAGAGGGAGATGAGGAGGATGAGGGAGGGGAGCGGGGAGGCGGGGAAGAGGAAGAGGAAGAGGAGAAGGGGGAGGGGGGCGGGGATGGTGGTGGTGAGGAAGGTGGGGTGGATGGTGGGTTGGTCAGATTTGTGAATCTGCAGATGCGAGCGGCTGACCGCGCTGCTAGGCAGGTTTTGCACGAGACAGCAGCGGCAGGAGGCTCAGGTGCAGCAGTAGCGGGTGCAGAAACGCACACAGAAGGAGTGGGAGGGGAAGGAGGGGAAGGAGGGGAAGGAGGGGCAGGTGGGGGAGGTGTGGGAGGAGGGGAAGGGGAAGCTGGAGGTGGTATGAGTAGCCCCGAGCCTGAGTACGGGGATGCAGGGGAAGGGGGTTCTCCGAGGGTAAATAACCCTTGGTCTGCGGATATCTTGACAGAGTTGTACAAAGAAGAGGGGGTGACCCCAGCTGGTAAATCAGCGCCTGGTGAAGGGGAGAGAGGCGTGGAAGGGGATATAGTGGGAACAGAGGAAGGGGAAAGGAGTGGGGAGGGCAGAGGAAGTAGGAACGATGAGGAGAGAGGGAAGAGAGTTGGGGAGATTCCTAGGGAGCGTGGCGTAGGGGATATGGATAGGGACACTGAAGGTGGTAGGAGTGGAGGCGAAGAGGGGGCGCATGGAAAGAGGGCAGGGGAAGATGCAGTAGAGAGGAGGAGGGAAGGAGAAGAGGGGCCAGAAGTTGGAAATCAAGCTGCAAATTACGCTGCTGGTGATGTTGATGCTGGTGTTGGCGCTGCTGCTGCTGATGATTCTGATGCTGATAATGATGCCGCTGATGCTGATGCTGTTGATGCGGACATCCCCGGTAGCGCTGATGCTGCAACTGCTACAGGGATGAGAAGGAGAGGCGTCAAGCGGGTGAGGTGGGAGGACGAGCAGCAGGAGGGGCAAAGCGAGGAGGGGGGGAAGAGGAAACGATGGGATGGGGAAAGGCATGAAGACGGTGGTGAGGGGTTGGAGGGGGTTGAGGGGGATGGTGATGGTGGTGATGGTGGTGGTGGGGACAGGGGAATGGCTGTTGAGCGGGAGAACCAAAGGGATGCAGCACACACTGCAGCACGGAGTGCAGTCAGAGAGGCCTTCGGCACTATTATACTGGACGAAGGGGAGGAGACGGAGGGAGGCGCGATGGTGGAGACGATCGTACTTGACGACGGGGGGGAAACAGAGGGAGGAGGTCGCCCTAATGATCATGCACGCACGGGCTCTCATGTGGAAGGGGAAATACAGGGGGGCTCTGAGGGCTCTGGTGCACACACGGAATCTGGAGCGTTTGGAGCGTGCAAGGTCGCTGGTGCACACAACAAGGGTGCATCCGCCACCGCCCCAGCCACTGGTGCAGCCCTTACCGCACCCGCCTGCGTCTCGTCTCCCTTCCCTATCGTCCTCGCCCTTGCCGCGCCCAACGCTCCTGTTGGTTCCGCCACGCCGCACCCCACAAACGCCCTGTACTCTTCCCTGGCCCCGCAGCCCACAAACGCCCCACAACCTGCAGGCACCCCTCAACCCACAAACGCCCCAAGCCTCTCTGAAACTCTTCACCCAACGGCAAACCGTCGCACCGGTTGGCAGCTGACAGCGGGTCAGAAGCGGGCCATCTGCCTCGTGCTCCGGGCAGTGCCGAGCCTGCGCCGAGCCTCCCTCGCGGAAGCTGTCCTGCAGGCTTGGGGGGTGAGCCTGTCCACTCATACTGTACGTCACATTGCGGAGCATCGTGATTGGTGGATCAGGATTCCGAGGGGGAAGGAGGAGGAAATGGGTAATAGAAAAAAGGGCGGGAGGAGGAGTGACAAAGGGGTGGGGAGGTGTGCGAAGCTGGAGGAGGCTCTGGGGAGGTGGGTTGAGGAGATAGGGGCGGAAGAGCTGGTGAGGAGGGGGAGGATCGAGAAGGGGATTCTGGTGCTGAAAGGGAAGGAGGGGGGTGTGGAGGCGGAAGGGGCGGGTGGAGAAGGGGGAGGGGGAGGTGGAGGGGGAGGTGGAGGGGGAGGTGGAGGGGGGAGAGGAATGGGGCAGGGGAGAGGTGGCTCTTCGTCTGCATTCCTGACGCTAGAGATGATTGTTGACATGGCTAAGAAGTTAGGACCGTCCCTAGGTGCGCCTCCTGGCTTTAAGTATGGAGAAAGAAAGAAGGGAAACAACTGGGCACGGAAGTTTATTGAGCGGTATAAGGGGAGGAAGAGGAAGGAGGAAGAGCAGGCTGGGAGGAAAGGAGCAGGGGAAGGAGCAGGGAGGCGGGAGAAAGGCAAGGGAGAGGGGGAGGGGGAGGAGGAGGAGTGGGATGAGGGGGAGGAGGAGGCGGAGGAGGAGGAATGGTCAGATGGGGAGTATTGTGATGATGACGAGGATCGGGAGGAAGAGAGTGAGGATGGGGACAGCAGCGATGATGATTATAACGAGGATGAGGGGGAGGATGATGATGTGGTGGAGGTTGTAGGAGGAGAGGAGAAGAAGCGAGGGCGGAGCCAAGAGAGGGGAGGAGGTCAGGAATCGGAGCAGGAAAGAGGTGGGAAGCGAGGGAGAACCACCGCTGCTACAGCGCCAGGAGGCACCCAAGCTCTTCACGATCCAGGAAAGGTGGGAAAAGAGGGAGAAGGGAAGGAGGGAAAAGAGGGAGAAGTTGGAGAAGAGGGAGAATCGGACCTGTATGCGTTGGAGAAGTGGGCGGACGATGCGGACGTCTCTAGCCTCATGCGGAGTCTCTACGGAACTGACTGGCTCACCGAGTATCCCCGCCGCAAGGATTCTCTCCTCTGCTTCCCTGACCGCACCTCCCCTGAACTCGCCTCCCCTCAAAGCACGCCTCCTCCAACAAACACATCTGTACGCCGGGCGGGAGTGTCGAGTGGTGGTGGTTCCTGGGCAGAGGGGCTCACAGGGGGGCTCACCGGTTACCGTTCCGCGCACCTCGACCCCCCTCAAGGCACTCCTCCAGACACGTCTGTGCCCCAGCACAGACCACTGGGCGGCAGCCGTGGGACGTGGGCGTACCTTGACCCCCCTTCACCGCTGCCCTCCTCTGCTGCAACTACATTGGCCTCTGCTCTTGCTGGTCGCCGCGTCACAAGAAGCCAGGCAGCTGCTGCAGGAGCAGGCTCAGCTGGTAATGCATCCCCTGATCTGAGCTCCCAGCGGCTGATTCTGCCCCACCTGCCAGTGGGCTTGTCCCCGCAACCCTCACCGCAACAAGCAGGCCGCTCACCCCACCCCCTCCCTCGAGCGTCTGACTTAGCTGGTCAGACGCAGCCTGCTGCTTCGACTGCTGCTGCTGCACCTGCTGCCACTTCGCGTGCTGCTACTGCTGTTGTCCCTGCAGCAGGAGGGATTGCTGAGACTGCTGCGCTGCTTACAGCACTTGGCTATGGTGGGGGTGGTGCTGGTGCTGGTGCTGGTTTTGGTAATGCCGGTTTGCTGGGTTCACTGGCAGGTGTGAATCCACAGCAAGCCCGAGCACCAGGTAACCCGCTGGTGCAACTGCTTGCACTCTTGGCCGCACAGGGAGCAGGAGGGGGTGCTAGTGGTGCTGGTTTTGGTAATGCAGGTTTGCTGGGTCTACTGGCTGGTGCGAATGCACAACAAGCCCAAGCACCAGGTAACCCGCTGGTGCAACTCCTTGCACTCTTGGGTGCAACAGGAGCGGGGGGGGGATCAGGTGTAGGGGGCACAGCAGGGGGAGCAGGATTAGCACAGGGAACAGCAGGAGTGGCAGGAGGAGCAGGAGTGGCAGGAGGAGCAGGAGGGGCAGGCGGGGCAGGCGGGGTGGGAAATTGGGGTGTGGGAGGGGGAGTTGGGGGAGTGGTAAGTGAGCGAGAGGGGAGGAGGGAGAGGAGGGCGCGGGAGAAGGAGAGAGCGAGAGAGAGGAAGAGAAGGAAGGCGGAGGAACGGGCTCGGAGGAGGGCGGAGAGAAGACGGGGTGAGAGTGACCGAGGGGAAAGGAGGGATGAAAAGCGGGGGTTGGAGGAAAGGTCAGGTAAACAATGCGTGCCCTTTGACAGAGCGTGGAATGTGCTGGCCACCGGGGGTAAAGGGAGGCAGGAGGAAGATCGGGCCACAGAGAGAGGCGGAGGAAGGAGTGCGGGGAAGGTGGGCGGCAGAAAGCGGCTGGCAGAAGTGATTGAGCTCTCAGAAAGTGAGAAAGAGGAGGGAGGGAAAGGTAGAGAGAGTGAGAGTGAGGAGGGGTCAGATGATGACGTGGTGGAGGTGAGGGTGAGAGGAGACAGGAAAAGGGGGAAGAACGATGGAGGGAGAAGAGGAGGAAAGGAGCGAGGGAGAGAGGAGAGACGAAGAGGGGTTCGGAAGGGAGACCGGGAGGAAGGGCGGAGGAAGGGAGGGCGGAAGGGAGGGCGAGCCCGGATCACCACCCACTCTAGTGACGTCAATGATGACGATGATGATGATGGTGATGAGGAGGAGGAGGGAGCAGCGGGTGGATCTCCCGCATTGAACAGGGCAGCACTGGCGGGCGCTGCTGCCCTTGGCAGCAACCCAGGCCAGACGTTTGCTCTGATGGCGCAGGCCGCCTCGCAGGCTGCATCTGGGGCGGGCTTGCCTCTCCCGGCGTCAGTCACGCCTGAAAGGGCCGCGGCTGCTCTAGGTGCTGCCGTGGCGGCGGCCGCCGCAGTGGCGAGAGGCGAGCCCCCCAATGTTGCTGCCTACAACGCCGCTGCCGTCACACGTGGGGGGGGTGCTGCTGGGCTGGGTGCTTCTAGGGACGGGACTGGCGCTTTTAGGGGTGCGTCGGCTGGCGTTGCTGGGGTGGGACCTGCAGGTCTGGTCCAGCTGCTAAATGCACTAAGTGCTGGTGGAGGGTTAAACGCTGGTGGAGCAGGAATGGGACCCTATGGAGCAGGGAATGCGGGTGTGGGTCAGGCTCTTGGCCTGTTCCCGCCTGCCCCTCTCTATGCTGGATTCAGCACTGCTTCCACTGCTGGGGCTCAGACTGTTGCACGCTTCGGTGCCCCAGGCTTCAATGCCCCAGGCGTTAGTGCCCCAGGCTTTAATGCTGCACGCTTTAATGCTGCTGGTACCGCCAATTTGGAACATTTTTTTACGCAGCAACAGCAGCAGCGTCAACCGCAGCAGCAACAACAGCAGCCGCAACCGCAGCAGCAGCAGGAGCAGCAGCTGCAGCAACAGCGGCAGCAGGTTCAGCAGCAGCGGCAACCGCAACAGCAGAAGCAGCAGCAAAAGGAACAGCAGAAGCTGGTGCTGGTGGAGCGGCAGCAGCAGCAGCAACAGCAGCAGCAGCAGCAGCAGCAGCAGCAGCAACAGCAGCAGCAGCAGCAGCAACAGCAGCAGCAGCAGCAGCAGCAGCAGCAGCAGCAGCAGCAAGGTGCATCTGGTTACAGAGCGTCCCTTCTGCAGCAGCTAGAGAAGATGCACCTGCAGCAGCTGAACCACATAGCTTATCTGCAGTACCAGCTGCAGCCGCTGCAGCATCAGCAGGTGATGTACCCATTCCACTCGCAGCAGCACTGGCAGCGCGCGCATCTAGAGCAGCGCTTGCAGGATGCCCAGCAGTTCGCAGCACAACAAGTGAGAGAGATGCAGCAGCTTAGGGCGCAAATTGAGAAGACGCAACAGCCGCAGCAACAGCAGCCGCAACAGCAGCCAACTGCTCCACCAACTGTAAATGCGTCTCCTTCAAGTGTTACCCGCACTGCTCCTACTGCTCCTGCTGCTGCTGCTGCTGCTACTGCAGCCTCAAATGCTGCTCCTTCTGCTGCTGGTAGTGCTGCCGCTACTCCTGCTTCTGGGTCTGCTGCTTCTTCTGCTCCTCGGGTTGCTGCTACTTCTCTTGCGTCTGCTGCTTCTGCTCCTGCTCCTGCTTCTGCTTCTACTCCTGCTCCTGCTTCTGCTTCTGCTTCTGCTTCTGCTTCTGCTTCTACTCCTGCTTCTGCTTCTGCTTCTGCTTCTGCTTCTGCTTCTGCTTCTGCTTCTACTCCTGCTTCTGCTTCTGCTTCTGCTTCTGCTTCTGCTTCTGCCTCTGCTATTGCTGCTGCTCCAGGCATTGCTGCCACTACTCCCGCTTCTTCTGCTGCTGCAGAAGCTGCTCCTGCTGGCATAATCCTTTCCGCTCCAAAGCCTGCTGCAGCTCTTGTTGATGCTGCTGGTGGTGATGCTGGTGGTGATGCGGGTGGTGATGCTGCTGGTAATGCTGGTGGTGATGCTGGTGGTGATGCTGGTGGTGATGCTGCTGGTGATGCTGCTGGTGATGCTGCTGGTGATGCTGCTGGTGATGCTGTTGGTGATGCTGGTGGTGATGCTGCTGGTGATGCTGGTGGTGATGCTGCTGGTGATGCTGCTGGTGATGCTGCTGGTGATGCTGTTGGTGATGCTGGTGGTGATGCTGCTGGTGATGCTGCTGGTGATGCTCCTGCCACTGTGTCAGGCCCCTCAGGGTCGGTTCCACTTGCTGTCGTTTTTGCTGCAGCGGCAGCTGCTGCGGGTGCACAGCCTGAACCGTCAGAGGCCGAAATCGTAGGTGCTACAGCCGCAGCTGCTACAACTGCACCTGTAGCTGCTACAACTGCACCTGTGGCGGTTACAGCTGCACCTGTAGCAGCTGCAGCCACATCACCCGAATCAGCAGAGGCTGGGATCGCTGCTGCTACAGCCGCATCCGCAGCTGCCGGGCCTGCGGCTGTAGCTGCTGGAACTGCACCTGTAGCTGCAGCAACTGCATCACCCGAATCATCAGACGCTGGGATCACTGCTGCTGAGGCTGATGCGGTCGAAAGCACAATCAGCAAGATAATTGAACAGAAGGTTTCTGACACACCTGCAGCTGCTACAGCTGGTGGGGATGTGCCTTCGGCTGCTACAGCTGGTGGGGATGTGCCTGCGGCTGCTGCGGCTGACGGAGATGTGGCTGTGGCTGCTACGGCTGATGGGGATGTGACTTCAGCTGCTATGGCTGATGGGGATGTGCCTGTAGCTGCTACAGCTGATGGGGATGTGCCTGTAGCTGCTGCAGCTGATGGAACAAGAGATGTGACAGCAGCGACAGATGATGGGTCAATGGATGCTGCTCCTGATGGGGATGTGCCTGTAAATTCCACAGATGCTAAGGATGTGGCTGCAGCTGCTGCAACTGATGGTGCTACGGGTGACGGTGCTGCAGATGAGGGGGAAGGATTCATTTCACCTGGGCATGTGGGCCCCACAGAACACGGGCCACAGGATGACATGGCTGTAGATGGAGGCCGAGAGGGCGCTGCAGGCGATGGTGATGGCGATGGTGCTACAGATGATGGGACAAAGGATGCTACAGTCGCTACAGATGATGGGAGAAGAGACACTGCGCCTGATGTTGGCCCTGCAGGACACGCGGCACATGATGCCATGGCTGTAGATGGAGGGAGAGAGGGTGCCACAGACGATGCTGCTATGGATGATGGTGCTGCTGATGAAGGCGATGGGGCTACAGGCGATGGGGCTACAGGCGATGGTGCTACAGGCGATGGGGCTACAGATGATGGGACAACAGATGCTGCAGCCAGTGCAGGTGATGGGACAAGAGGCATTGCATCGGGGCATGTTGGACGGCCTACAGAACACGGGGCACAGGATGACATGGCTGTGGATGGAGGTATTGAGGGTGCTACAGCCGATGGTGCTACAGCCGGTGGTGCTACGGGTGATGATGCTGCAGATGGTGGTGCGGCTATGGATGTCGGCAATGGTGGGGTTATGGATGACGCGATGGATGACACTGTTACAGATGGTCGGACTATAAATGACGCTGCTACAGTTACTGAAACAGGATCCCAAACCAAGAATACTGGGGCAGAGGGTGGACCGGTCGATAAACCAGCAGAGGATGGGGCTATAGGTGTTGCAGCAGAGGTTGGGGTTACAGATGTTGCAGCAGAGGGTGGGGCTACAGGTGTTGCAGCACAGGGTGGGGCTACAGATGTTGCAGCGGGGGAGAGGGGGGAACAGAGGTGAAAGGTGAATGGACTTGCCACTCTACACAAATCAGAGATGAGCTAGACATTGTATGCCTGACTCAGGGGAATCCTGTTAGTATTTCGCATGAACCGATTGAGCATGTTGTCTAATGGATGTTGAAGTATATATTTCAATATATTTTTGTGTAGGCTTGGTTGTTGTGCTACTTACTGAATCCTACTGTAGAGGGTGTTGGAAATATCTCAAGGACTTAAGCGTTTCTGAAGTGTAACACTGTACTCGAGGAAGATTACAGGGGAGCACGCGAGTCAACGGAGGTTACACGAGGGGGCGGACAAAGAATGCGAAAGGACTCGAAAGGTCGCAACTGGAGGTTGCGACTGACCGTTACAACATCACGGATGGTAACCGAAGCGGCAATCGAGTCGCTGTGCGACTCGATAAACCGTTCCTGTAACTGTATTCTACAACTGCTTTCTTATCTTCTATATATTGCTGTATGCTTGTTTCTTTAATCAATCACTTGTTCTCACATACTAGTACAAGGGTTCAACCGTCTCAACTTCCGCTGCACTACTCCAAGTCTCAAGTCTTTACAGCTGGGACTTAGTCTCTGCAAAAGATCCCAAGGGCTTTTCTCAGCCCAACATGGTATGAGAGCTGGTCGGAGACCAAACTCCCAGCAACTACGCTCCATCAACGACCTGCAACTCAACTTGATTCAACAACTCCATTGATTACAAGACATGGACAACAAGGGCAAGAAAGTCTCTACGGGCTCACCCAGCGCCCAAGAAACTCAACACGGCAACTCTGGTCTGCACACCTCAGGACTGCAGACAGAGACCGGGACTACTCAAGAAACAACGGGAAGAGTACCAGAGATGGTGACTCCGTCTCCCTCTTCAAGTGTGGACCCGAATCTCATGGAGAGATTCTTCAGCTTCATGTCACACTTCGATCAGCAGCAGCAGACAAGGACACCTGCGCACTCAACACAGAGCAATGGAGGGAATATGGGATTAGCGCCGATGAGCCTCGACAACTCATCCTTCGGGCGACACAATCAAGCGCCTACCTTTGCGCCTTATCACTCTTCACCGGGGACGTTCGAGTTCATGCCGCCCCGTGCCCAACCAACAGCAGCTGCATCACAACAAACACCAAACGAGATTTTAAGTCTCCAGGCACAGTTTTCACACGTGATTAAACTGCAGACATCATCACCGTTCAACGGACACGACTTCTTTACCTGGAGCTTCGAGTTCGAGCTGCTGATGGAGGCCGCGCATCTTCTGGGATACTTCAACGGGTCCCTGCCATTCCCAAGCAACGGCACTGGGAAGGAACAAGAGATCTTCACGTATCAGTCGCTGCTGGCGTACACGGTACTCCTGAGAAACCTGTCACCACAAGAGCAGCAGAGCATCAGAACGTATCGGAGTTATGGAAACTCCGCGGAGCTCGCATGGCACCACCTCAAGTGCCTTTACCAAGCAAACGACAGCGTGACACAAAGCAGACTCATGCAACAGCTGACAACAATACAGATGAAGACCGGGGAAAAGGCGATGCAGTATATGAGTCGCTGCCAGACCCTCCGCGACCGCCTGCTTCGGTGCGGAGGAACGATCACTGAAGAAAGCTTCGTGACACTTGTCCTCGCCGGGCTCGGGCCAGAATGGAGAACCACACGATCACTTCTTCGAGCCCACGGAAGAATTTCGGAGATGCACCTCTGCGCCGAGCTTCACGCTGAACAACAGGAGATGGATCTGTTCGAGGAAAGACAACCAAGGAAGCAACAGCAGTTAGTCTTCTACACTCAAAGAAGAAATGACAACAACTACAACCGACGCAGCAAGCAAGATCAACGCGACAACCGAGGACTCACCATCGTGCCGCCGTTCTGCCACAACTGTCAGACTTCCGGGCACTCCAAGGTCAACTGCAACCGCCCTCGCGTTTACCGTGCAGCAGACCCACAAGTCGCTTCCACTCAAGCAAGTCCTCCAAGGCGCTCTTCAACATCTGCACAACAAACACCCAACATCATCAACTGCATGGTACACATCGACAACTGCGCACCCGCTTCACCACCCACTTACGCACCAGACGAAGAGGAATTCCCGCCGCCGCGCTCGCAAGGACTTCAGGTCAACCCGACATACGCTGCAGTCGCTAACGCCGAACCCACCGGGCGGAACACCTGGTTCTTGGATAGTTGCTGCGGTCAGCACATGTGCTCCTCCGGACGCTTCGTACAACACGAGCGACGCCTCAACCGCGACGTCGTCATCACCGTCGCCAACAACGAAAACCTGAAAACAAACAGACAAGGCGTGGTTCAGTTACAATCAATGGAGACAAACGTTATTCTTCAGCTCAACAAAGTCCTCATCGTCGACAATCTGGGATACAACCTACTAAGCGTAAGCCAACTAATGGCTAAGGGGATTCACCTGGAGTGCGACTCCTTCTCCAACGAGTTCCGACTTTACCACGGGAAGGGCGGCCTCTTCATCGGTCGTGCCCTCCTGAAGTCCGGTGTCTTCGTGTTGGACTTCGTCCCCGACCGCGGAACTGCCGACAGCGATGGCATCGTATCGTTCGCCGCCTGGACTCACCCGCCGGATCTTGATCCCGACTTCGACAGTGATGGCTTCTGGCACTCCAACACCATACCTGCAGCAGAGAGAACACGAGCATTAGCAGTTATCAGACAAGAAAGACAAGTACCCGCAAGTGTCCCAACAAAACCATCACCTGCAGTATCGGCAGCAGGACCCAGCCGAGTACCACCACCATCAACACGAGGACCGCCAACGGAGGCAGACCAACTTATGCCCGCCACACGAGAAGCTTGTCGAAGTCCCGCCTCGGTCGTCGCGTTCTTCTCCAACGCCGACATCTACCACCGCTCGCCCGGTCACCGTGCTCCCGACGACATCTGGCACCAACGCCTCGGACACCCTGCAAACAGCACAATACTTCAAACAATCCAAGCAGAGGTGTTAGAACGTAACGCCCTTCTAACGACGAGCGGCCAAGAACTTCGCCGACCAAGAGCACGATGCTTCACGTGCCCCGAAGCAGATCTTCCTCATCAACCCTTCCCATCCCATCATAATCCAAGCGCGCCTGCATATGCAACGATGGAAAAAGTCTACAGCGACATCTTGAACATGCCTCGAGACGACACGGAAGCCGACTTCAACTACGTCATCACCTTCGTCGATGCAGCAACAAGATACACTTGGCATTACAACCTCAAGACGCGCGATCAAGCCTTCGACGCCTTCACAACATGGCTCCCCATCGCCGAGCGGGAATCAGGAACCAAGCTCAAAAGCTTCCAGTCAGACGGTGCCCTAGAATACCAGTCACAACGCTTCAGGACCTATCTGGCGGAAAGAGGAATCAAGCGCCTGGTGTCCCTACCATACGCTCACCAGCAGCAGGGGGTCGCCGAACGCATGAACCGGACCTTGCAGACGACGATGCGAAAGCTGCTCCTGGGGATGAGACTGCCCAATACACTGTGGCCAGACGCGATGACACATGCAGTCCACCTGCACAACCTGTTGTCCTCGTCATCGCTCCCCAACAACGCATCACCGCACCTGCTGTGGACGGGAAAAAGGGGCAGCACAAAATTACTTCGAGTTTTCGGCTGCATGGTACAATACAGACCCCACACAGCTCGAGCAGGACGCTTCACTCAACGAGCTCGGTGGGGACTACACCTCGGCATCGCCAAACATTTTCACGCGTGGAAGATTCTCGACATACACGACAAAAATACGGTGGCATCACGTGATGTTATCTTCTACGAGCGACTGACGCTGCAGCATTACCTGGACAACATTGCCAACTCAGACGACCCCACCGACGGCTTCGCGGGCCTTCGCTCCTTCGCTGACCATGCTGCCGAGGCTGACGCAGCAGAAGAAGACGTCCCTGGAGCCTCGGAGGCTGCCGGACCACTCCCCTACTGCTCCGTACCTGTTCCACTCGATGAAGATAATCCCCTCGATAGCAACAACCTCGACACCTTTTACCACTTCGCTGACCAAGGCTACGCTACACCACACCCCGTCGACTCGAATATTTCCGAACGCATCGGGCCAAACTTCTTACCCGATCCTGAAGACGGTGATGAAGCAGCTTATCCCGAGAATGAAAACTCCCCTCGACACACAGCCACGGGACTGCAGATCCTAGGACTATGGGTCTCCGTCCAGCACCCGCCGCCGCCTTCTCCGCGCGAGCCGTCGACCCTGTCGCAGGCTCTGGGGGGGGAACATAAGGCACAATGGAAGGAAGCGATGGAAAAAGAGTTAAAAGCTCTGCAAGACCGAGAAACATGGAAACTGGTACCTGCAACGAGCATCAACGGGAAGAACATTCTCTCGGGGAAATGGGTGTACCGCATCAAGACCAACTCAGACGGCTCCATCGAACGATTCAAAGCTCGATGGGTCGTACGAGGTTTCGATCAACGATACGGAACCGACTACACAGAAACCTTCGCTCCAGTCTCCCGTCACACCTCCCTGCGCATCCTACTCGCCATCGCGGCCACGAAGAAACTACCACTACGGCAAATCGACGTTGCAAACGCCTTCTTGTACGCACCTGTGGACGCCGAAATCTTCGTCGAACAACCCCACGGATTCATCGACGACCCTTCAAAAGTATGCCAGCTGGAAAAATCCCTTTACGGGATCAAGCAAGCCCCACGGCTCTGGCAGCAGCACCTTCACGGCCGGCTCGTAAAAATCGGATTCCTACAGTTACCACATGACCAAGGCATGTACCGACTACAGAAGGGAAGAGATTACATTCTGCTCATCGTCTACGTCGACGACCTGCTCTACATCGGTTCTACCACCGACATCGTCACCTGGTTCGAAGGGGAGCTGAAAAGGGACCTAACGCTCACGGTGTCCGACGAGGTGACGCAGTACCTAGGACTGAACGTCGTCGAAGACGACACGGCGTTCTACCTACACGCTGGAAAGTACTCAAGCACCGTCGCGAAGAAATTCGGTCTAACACCGACTGCGGTCCCAACTCCCTACCGCTACGGGAACAACAGTAGCGCCTCCACAAAACTCCCCGCGAAACAAATCCAGGAGTATCAACAGAAGCTCGGCTGCCTACTATTCGCAACAGTAACCTGCCGACC